TTATAGGAAAAAAAAAATTTTATCTTTACATTGATATATTTTTCAATTTTTATTAATTGTTCAATGGCATTTTCTTGTTGTAATAAAAATGTGCATACAGTTTCAAGACTTTTTAATGCTTCTTTAGATCTTATTATTGGTTGTTCATTGCTATCACCACCATCCACATCAAAATTGTTAGCAGATATAGCCATTCTTTTTTTATATCTTTCTGCAAGTTCTTCAATAACTTTATCATCTTCTGGAATGGCAAAGCATCAACAAATACATTTGGATCAATTGATGATGCTTCCCCGTGGAGTTTTTGTTGATGAATTCCATTATGATCTTTAAGTTTTGGAGCCACCCACAAGAGAATGATAATGTTCCATCAGGAACCTCCAGGCTATTTGCTAATTTTTAGCTTTTTCAATTATAATGGCATCACTCAAAATTGTTTTATTTTGATAAATTAATATAAATTCTTTAAGTGCAAGCTCAAGTTCAGGAATAGCTACAGACTTATTTCTTGGTTTTTGGGTTAGAAATTTCTGTGTTAAGTATTTGTCACTTCTTTGTATAATTCTGGTTATTATTGATTCATTCACTCTAGCTTCCTATTTTTGTTCAATCCAATTAATTGTCATGAGTATATAAACATATTTCATATTTTTGGGAATCATTTAAAAATATTTTACTTTTTGAAGACATTCTACAAAGAATAGATTCAAATAAATGTTTGAAAGTTAATGAAGAGAGCAATGAATAAATGGGCAAAGGCAAGTGATTATTTTAGCTGATTATCAGTTTATGGATTAATTAATATTCAATAATAATGAAGGAGAGTTTTGATTTTATTAAGTATGATTTAGACATTGAAATATTGTTACACGAAGCTGAGGTTGATTTAAAAGATCTTGATTTACGTGGAATTTCTGTAAAGTTTATTGAAGAAAATGGGTTTCCAGGGTCAGAGAATCATGAGCCAGAAAAACAAGAAAGTGATGAGACAACGAAAACACATGTAGAAGATGAAATATGGATTGATGATGATGAATATGTGGAATTAGATTGTAAATTACCTGATGCGAAGCCAGTCGTTCATATATATCCTCATATGAAAAGTCCACAAATGATGTATTATAAACGACCAGATATACAATTATCTGAACAAGAAAGAAAATTTGATCATGATACTCATGTGTGCATAATGGGTCAAGGTCGAGGTAATTAGTTCTTTTTTTAAAATCCCAATACAAATAAGTCTATTCAATTCGTTAATTGATTTGTTTATTTATAGTTACCCATCAAATTCAAATTGATTTTCTTAATGACAGATTGAATCAAATAAGTAATGATATTATTCAACTAGATAAACTGTC